ATGCTCATCCCCCACCTCAATGGCACTAACCCCTTCACACACCCATACACTTTGACTTTCACTTTGAAGCCTTGATCTCCTAAAGGATGGGGGATTTGGACCAAACCCCTGAAGGTTTCTCCATTGGGCATTTGAATTTGGTCAAAAGCCTTAAGATCTAAGGACTCTGGACTAAAAAGCAAACATGAATACTCCCGATTTTGTATTACTCTCACCGTGACACCGTCCAAACACTTTTACCGGCTTATTTACATTGGAGATACCTCAATTATAAACATTGTACTCCGAGCATTCCTCCGCCCGAAAAAGATCTTCTGATTACGCGTTACGAGGTTTGACCAACTTATTTTCAATTCAATTTATTTGATTGTAAATCAAAAATTTTAAAAATAAAATTTATACACTGATGGTGATACTCCCTCTTGGGGTTCATGATGGTGGGGAGCAATAAAGTAAGTAAAATTTTACTGTGAGAATAGTGTATGAGAAAATTACCACTCCCTCTTGGGTTCATGATGGTGGGGAGCGATAAAGTTGGCGCACAAGTGGGATTTAATTTGCTTGCTCTCTCCACACTAGAGCACCTAGATAGTGAGAGATTGAAGCTAAAAGCCAAAAGATTGACTTTAGGACAGATTGAGCATGAGAGGCCGATAATGATTTAGTGCACGTTCAAGCTACTAGCAGGTTTCATTATTTTAGAACAGATATGATGAAGGATAAAACCTTGATGTCAACATTAAAGAATTGACAATGGCTAGTAGGGGATTTGATTTAGAAACCAACAAGTTTATAGCTAACATTTCATTGACCGTGTGGGGGGAAGGCGATGTAGGGCGAATCACCCTCGTTTTGAAGGTTATGGGGGCCATTAATATGCGTATCGTGCAGTTGTGGATGTTGTTGGTAATTGTTTCATAGTGGTTTTGTGGAAGTGGGAAGATTATGGTAAATGGACAACGGTTGCAAGTTTTAACATTCCTAAAGATCTTGATGAAGAAGTTCCTCATATGTTAAGCGAAGTAGTTGTTGAGAGTCACGCACAAAAACGCATTTTCGTGTATATCTCAATGGATCAAATCATATAGTATCATTCGATTAAGAATGGTTACTTCTTGTTTGGCAAAAAAAGGATCACATGAGCGATATAAAAGATGATGATTATCCAAACTAGAACTCTTAGAGCTACAACTGCTTACATATCAGGAGTCATGTCATGGATCTGATCGTACCGTGTCAGCAGGCTGACATATGTGTAATGTATTACTTATGCTCTCTCTGTGTATATCATTGATAATGAGATTCCATTATATAGGGATAAATACAACGAGTAATGAACACAAAAAATACAAACCAAATCTAAACAATATTACTAAATAATTTCTAGTTTAATATGTTCCCGCTGTTTGAGCGAAAGATTGATGGCCGCTCAAGCTGGATTGGAAAGTCTAAATTAAATATCTAGGCAAACCGCAATAAGAATTTGTGTGGTTAACATACTTGTATGAGCCACTGAAATGATGATTGTAATGTAAACAACCAAGGATTACAACACACCTAATGCTATATAAATCTATAGCAACCAACTCAATCAAGAATTTGAAAGTTCATTAATTTAACAGCAAAGCAGAGCAGCTTAAAGCAAGAAAGCAGTGAGCTGACCAGGGTATACAGCACAGAGGAGATGACAATTGTCCGGTATCTGCCAAGGAAGGAGTCCGCAATGAAGGCTCCTAAGAGGGGCAAAAGAGAGGCGGTTCCTGACCAGGCGTTCACATTCGCCGCAGCAGTAGCCGTCGATTGACCTAGATGCCCACTCAGATAGCTTATGAGGTTCGAGCTTATCCCATAATAGGCAAACCTCTCAGCAATTTCAACTCCTAAAACATCAAACAGCTAAACTTAAAACTCAGGAGTAGAGAAAATGAAGGGGAATGATCAGGACATGATACTTCTAGCTAGGAGTTCTAGCTGATTCCAGACTGGAAAATTGAAAATAAGAAAGCGAGTGTGAGCTTCTTACCGATGATGAAGGATGCGGATCTCCATCGGCCCGTTCTGAATCGGGTGGCGGGTCGGCCTTTGAAATCGACGGAGCCATCGACGATGTCTTCTCGATGAAACTGGGTTTCGGCGTCGGGAAGAATAAGTCCTACGTCGGCGGCCATGTTCCTCCACCACGAACGCCGAAAAATTGATTGAGGGGTGGGACTTCATCGTGATCGATCGATATTTCAGTCGTTCATATGCGCCGTCCGTGCGCCCAGACCTTGTCCAGATTCACGAAGGGTAGGTGATCAAAATAGGCCAGTATACTTCAGAAGGTAAAGTATCGTAAATAATTCTCCGAGGCAAGTATACTCCAAATCCCAGCATTAAATTTAGAAGGTAAATTATTGGATTACCACTTTTGGCCTTTGGGCATTCTTTTAAAAGTAATTTTTTAATTTTTTGGCATTCTTTAATACTCCGTAATAAGAATAAAATGTTACACTCATGCTATGCCCTTCTGATAATATTTCCACCATTTTTTTAGTGAAAAAGAGGCATTGGTGCCAGTTTTTCAAACTATATAGGCACTGGTCGTATTTTTCTGAAGTTTATTTTTTGTTTTCCCCTTTTTCATTTATTTTTTTATTAACCAAGGTTCTTTAAATTTCTTTTTAAAATTGTTTTATAAAGTTTATACAATTCAAAATTATTTAAATTAACATATATTGCATCTGTATGTCTCAAATTAATAATTTGTTTTGAAATAAAAAGGTAAAAACTTTTTTTGAGAACTTCAAAAATGAGGAATAGAATAAGAAATAAAATAAAATATAAAATAAAAAGGAATATCCTTTTTGGACATCCCAATTGTAAAGAATTTTTTAGGCATTCTAAAAATTTCCTTTTTGTATAAAATTCTTTTTTTATATGTTTCAATTTCATTTCATTTTTCCATATTTTTATTTTTATTTTTTTATTTTCTATTTGAACTTACTAAAAACATTATTTTAGAAAACAAAAAGTTTAAGTATTGAATTTGAGATAGGTGGAGTATATGCTTATTTTTTATTTTTATTCAAAACATAAAGAATTTTGAATATTTAAAAACATTATAAAAGTTTAAATGAAATTTAAAAAGCTTTTCTAGGAAAAGGAAACAAAGAGATAAAAAAAGTTTTAAAAAATGTCAAAAACAAAGCAATAAATGAAAAATGAGAAATGAGCATGTGTGCCCCGTATGATTTAGAAAATATGCACCAATGCCTCCTCTTTGTCAGAAAATGATCAGAGAGGATGTGGATATAACATTTTAAAACCACATAAACTTTAAAAGATATAGTCGGAAGGGGTCTAGACTGTAGATATAACGTTTTCAATATTATGGAAAAAATCCTAATTTTTAAAATAGTTGCACATTTAAGATCACCCTTACATTTTTATATAAAAAAAATTACAGAGTAGTAGATTGATGAGTTAGAAAATATGTTATTTGGTTATTTGTTCAAAATATTCCACCTTTCGTGGAGTAATGCAAAATAAACTCATCTTCCATTGAATTGCGTATAATACTCATATTTTTAACTTCTTTTTTTAGAAGTCTTTGTCTCACTCCATCATTATTGAAATAAGTATATAAAACTTTTATATTAATGGAAACAAACTTGTCTTGATGAAAAATTTAAAAAAAGAAATATTGAACGCAACAACAACTTTAGTGCGATTACTTTTTGGTAGGCCAAAAAAGATGGGATTACTTTTAATTTTAGTTAAATTAATAAAATACAAAATAAAATAATTTTAACTTCGTTAGTTTAAAGTTAAAAATATTTTTTTATTTTATAGATATTATCTAGCATAAAAAGTGATTTTATTTTTTTGTGTCTACGAAAAAATAATCGTGCCAAAGTTATAATTGAGTTCAATATAATTTTTAAAAAAATTTCATCAATTTGAGACAATTTTGTGTGTATTAAGAAAAAAAACTTATATATTCATTTCAATAACGATAAACTTAAACAAAACCAAAAAATTAGACTATATGATTATTATACGGAATTCAATAGAATGCGAAATTATTTTGCGTAACTCCACGAAACGTGGGATGATTTTAGACCAATAACAAAACAAAAGAATATCCAACTCATTATTCGGTTAAATTTCGTCACGATAGCTAGGTTTATGCTGACCCAAAATGCATAAAAACTTAAAAATTTGATATTATCTTGCAGAACATTAAAAAGTGAAATTATTTTAAAAACCCCTCCATTAAAACATAAATTATTTCAAAATAAAATATTTTATATTTTTATCCTCTAAATAGGAGTAAATATTGATACTATGAAATACCACAATTTGGCACTATATATTCACATTTTACAATATTTTTCACATTATATACTCACATTGTTTGAGGCTAAAATTACCATTTTTCTATAAAAACGTTAATGATTCTATTTTAGTATATACTCCGTAACACATATTTTAGTCCTAGTTATGTATTTCTCCTTAAAGTTAAAGCAGCCCTGCTTAGAGCATGTTCTTTATAGTTGGAAAAAAGAGTTGGTTGTTGAAAGAAACTAAAAAAATCTAAAAGATATTGAAAAAAACTGAAGAAATTGAAAAAAACTACAAAATAGTAAAACTTGAAAGTTTTGGTGAAGTAAAAAAAAAGATATCGAACTTAATATATCCAAATATCATAAATCTTCTAAGGGGGAGGGAATGTTGATACCTACTTAATTTTGGAGATCAATATGAAAGTTCAATATCTTTTTAAGCATTGATATTCTCTCCCATCAGCTACCATTATCACCCCAATCACCCACGTTGTCAATCATCCCGCCTATCAGTAATTAAATCATGGTTTTAAATCTCTTCAAACTATTTCATTTTAGATTTCAAAACTCATATAATTTTTAACAAATTTCAAACTCATATCTTATTATATCTCTAAAACTCATCAAACAGACATTTAGTATTCCTAAGGGTTTTTCCCTACACTAAAACTCAAAACAAATGTCTATTTATTTATACGAAGTTTAGCATAAAGGGTAGCTTTCACATTGTCATGTTTTTTCTATTACGGAGTATAACTCAATTGAGTAGACACTATAAGATAAAGTTCTAAATAAACAAAATTTGAGTACAAATTCATAAGCCGAAAAGTACATTACCAAGCCGGTTCTTTAACAACAGTTGAATTGGGACTTCACATGAAATGGAAATAATTCGATGTAAGCAATGGTTCACCCCACACTCCTGTTATATGGCATTGGCTCTATTGTAGATATATGATCTTGAAACATATAGGTAAGCCAAAAATGATAGTGCAGAAAGACCGGCAAGAAGCCAATAGAAATAGTCGAGATGTGCCTTGTTCATGTTGTCTGAAAACCAACTTTCTCCATCTTTTCGAGTGGCTTGTTCAACGATAGAGATGAGAAAACTGCTTAAGAAGCTGCCAATGCCAAATATACTGAGGTACAAAGAAAGACCTATGCTTTTCAATTCCTTGGGCGCCTGATCATAGAAAAACTCTTGCAACCCAACCATGGTGAATACATCTGAAATGCCAAACATCACATACTGAGGAACCAGCCACCAAACACTCATGGGAACAGTTGCCTTGGGCTTGTCAAACAATCCAAAGTCCAAAGCAGTTTGAAGACGTTTCTTCTCCACTACGGCTGCAACCACCATTGAGAGAGCAGATAAAAATATTCCAGTTCCCATTCTTTGAAGCATTGTTATTCCAGAGGGTTTCCCAGTCACAGCTCTCATAATAGGAACAAAAAGCCAGTCATATATAGGAATAAAGATGACAACAGAAAGGCTAACGAAGGTTTGCAGTGTAGCAGCAGGCACTTCAAGATTTGATCCAACGGATCTGTTCATTGTAGCTCCTTGCTTTGTGAATAAGGTGGATGATTGTGAAAACACAATGCCATACACTAAACACGCCACCCATATTGGAGCAAGTCTGAGAATGACCTTAGCGTCATTAACCTCACTGATACTACACACTTTTCCATCCTCTGAACCATTGGGAGCCAACAGTGCCTTGTTAAGGAACCTTTGGTGAACAAACAGTCAGTCAGATGGAATTATCCACACACATCAAATTGAAAGAGTAAAGAATTGTTAGGCAAATACAGAAATCGTATCATCATGCATTACATTCCTACAATTGCAGTAAAATGTCTTTTACTAGTCCGTAGTTGTTACTTGTTAGGAAAAAATATACTATAGATGGGGGAAGGGCATGTACGTTCAGATTGAAAAGTGAATGTTGTGTAGAAGAAATTCTTTAAGAAGAGAGACAAATGTTATGCACCATATATTCTTTTCCTAAAAGTGACATGGATAAGTGTTAAGTTCATTTTTGGACAGAAGGAGAATAAAACACAGACCAATCAAACACGTTGCAGTACTTCAGGAATTTGAAAATAAAACAACCAAAAACAAAATTTTTTAAAGAGAAAACATGAAACGTTACGAAACAAACCTTATGTGTTTACTTACTTGAACTGCTGAGAGCCTTCACTAGGCTGAATTCCCTGGTTCTCTTGTTCCAATGATATGGATGTAAATTTGGTCTTGCGATTCCTATATGCATTGACAAACACACGGCCAATTTTCACAAAGGGATTTTTCTCATCATTGTCTTGACGGAAACGATAAGTAAAGGTTCCAATCAAGAAGACAACAAGAGCAACACCCATAATGATACAAGGGATTCCAAACCCAAGAACCCAACTTAGGTTGTCCTGAATGTAATTCAGAATCCATAGTGTAAACATAACACCAAAGCACGAGCCAAAATACCACCAGTTGAAGAAAGAGCTTTTGGCTTTACACTCTAGCGGGTCTTGACTGTCAAACTGGTCAGCCCCAAAAGCTTGGGCACAAGGCTTGTGTCCACCTTGTGCTAGTGCCACCAGATATAGAGAAAAGAAGAAGAAGATAACTTGGAACGTAGGAGGAGGACAGGCACCTAACTTTGGAGCATGTTGACAGTCAGAAGACCCAAAATGAATGACAGCAGAGATAGTTAAGAAGCCCAGCCCCTGCAGTTTAAAGGTATGTTTGGATCACGGAAAATTGCAAGGAATTGAGGAAATATACTATGTGGAGTTATTATCTTACACTTGGTTTTACCTCATTCCATGTGTCAAGGAACCCATTCAACCAAAAGCTCAAGCTTGTGGTTGTGGCCCAGGAATAGTTATTTATATTCTAACACGCCCCCTCACGTGCAAGCGTATTCTTTTTCGAGCCTTGCACGTGAAACCTTAATTTTTTTTAAATTGGGTGGCGCTGAGTTTCGAACCCGTGGCCTCTTAGTCAACGAGGCTCTGATACCATGTCAAGGAACCCATTCAACCAAAAGCTCAAGCTTGTGGTTGTGGCCCAGGAATAGTTATTTATATTCTAACACCATGCAAATAAAAATATAATGCAATTAATGATCCTAAATGTTTACAGAAATTTAGATTTCTAAATCTATATACTTCATATAACAAACTAAAATAATCAACTACTTATATCTAACATAAATTCATTACTTTTAGCCCCTATTTGATTCTCAATGTTTAAATTAGTAAAGTTTCAAATTCTTTGCAATATGCAGATATCTTTACAAAGGGTTTGCCTAGATACTTATTTCAGACTTTCCAGTCCATCTTGAGCGTTGGTCAATCTCCTGCTCAAACTCTGGGAGCATATTAGACTAAATATTATTTAGTACTCCCTCCGTCCTAAAACTTTCTTCCCAGAGCACTATTCCAACTTCACGGGAATTTATACTTATTTGTGTTTTTTCATGGCCTATATGATAAAATAAAATATTCTTGTCACCACTTGTTTTGTTGAACTTTTGATGTAGTTTTTAAATATGTATGTTTTATTTTTTATTTCTATACCAATATTTAAATAAAATAGATTGAAAAAACTTGGGATTTTTCTTCGTTTTGCGCAACGGGAAGAAAGATATAGGACGGAGGGAGTAATATTGTTTATATTTTGTTCATTCATTANACTATTCCAACTTCACGGGAATTTATACTTATTTGTGTTTTTTCATGGCCTATATGATAAAATAAAATATTCTTGTCACCACTTGTTTTGTTGAACTTTTGATGTAGTTTTTAAATATGTATGTTTTATTTTTTATTTCTATACCAATATTTAAATAAAATAGATTGAAAAAACTTGGGATTTTTCTTCGTTTTGCGCAACGGGAAGAAAGATATAGGACGGAGGGAGTAATATTGTTTATATTTTGTTCATTCATTACTCCTTGTACTTATCCCTATATAATAAGATCCCATTATCAATGATACACAGAGAGAAAGCATAAGTCATACAATACAAAATCGGGAATATTCATAGTACTTTTGTTCCTTAGATCTAAAGGCTTTTAACCAAATTCCATTGCCCAATGGGTAAAACCCCAGGGGTTTGTGAAGGGGTTGTAGCTCATGGAGGTAGGGGGTGAGCATGATCTCTAGGTTGGGAACCTTGTTTTGGAAAGGTTAGGACAAGTTCTACCAGTCCTTAGAGTTGATGATGGTGGGGAGGAATTAAAGCTAGGATTTGTTTCGCACACGGTTGATTCAATCGGTTTGCTCTCTCCTCCTCGTTGGAGGCACTTAGATGGTGAGAGATTAAAGCTAAAATCCAACAGACTGACTTTGGGATAGACTGAGCATTATAGGTGGATGACAATTCAGTGCACGGTTGAGCTACCAATAGGTCCATTATTTCAGATGTCACAACAGATATGGTGAAGGATAAAACTTTGATGTGGACAGTCACGAATGAAAATGGCTGGTAGGGGGATTTGATTTAGAAACCAACAAATTTATAGCTAACATTTCATTGCCCGTGTGGGGATAAGGCAATGGGGGCAAGTCACCACGGTTTTGAATGTTATGGGGGACCATTTATATATGTACCGTGCAGCAGCTGATGCAACTGGTGATTGTTCTCTGGTGGTTTTGTGGAAGTGGGAAGATGATGGTCAATGAACAATGGTTACAAGTTTTAACCTTGCTAAAGATCTTGATGCAGAATTTCGTGACATGTTTAGTAAAGTGGTAGTCATGAGTCACACACAAAACCCCGTGTTTGTGTACATCTCAATGAATCATATCATAGGGTATGATCCGATTGAGAATGATTACTTTTTATTTGGCAATGAAGGTGATCACATTAGTCAAATAAAAGATGATGATTATCTGGAACTCTTAGACCTACAACTAGTTACATATCAGAAGTTATGTAAGTCAAAACCTGTAAAATGTGTAACGTATGACTCATGCTCTTTATGTGTGTATCATTGATAATGAAATTCCATTATATGAGATTATGAGAATAAGTACAAGGAGTAGTGAACGGGCAAAATATAAACAATATTACTCAATAATATCTAGTCTAATATGCCCCCATACTTTGAGCGAAAGATTGAAGAAAGCTCAAGCTGGACTGGAAAGTCTGAAATTTTACTAATTTAAGAGCAGATCCAAAATAAGAATTTGTGTGGTTAACATACTTGTATGAGCCATTGAAATGATGCGACTATGCGAGTAATGTAAAGGGTGGTGATAATCAACCCGCTAAAACACTAAAAGCACCCCGGATGCATTATTATGTTATTATTTAAAAAAGTTATATAAACGTTATTAATTAAAAACTTTACACATAAATGATTAAAACTATCCATCATTTATTTCATTTTATTACTTTTCAAAAACATAATATAAATTTTAGTTTATAAACTTTGACATCTCTTATTTTGAACTTCCAGTAATTAAAATAACGTTTATTGTTAAAAAATTGAATGACCATTGATTTTTGTAAAACATTCTTTTTTCTATGTATTATACCAACGTGTATTTCACTATTTTTATCGACATAGTTATTTTATTAAAATAACATAAATAAAGAAGTTATTTTATTTCTTTTAAAAAAAGGTTATATAAACTTTACTTAAAAAAACTTTATACGGAGTATAACTTTCAAAACTACTCACCATTATTTTCTTTTATTACTATTCAAGAAAAAAAATTATATAAATATTAATAAAAGTGCATTTTTATTAAAAATACAACTTTTATTTTAAAAAAGACATCATATCTAATAATTTAAAATTAGATTTAGTATGAAAATAAAAAATAAAATAATATTTTATGTTGATTCAAAATATAATATTATCAAAATGTTAAAATTGTTAAATGTTCTACATGAGCTCAGGGAATAAAAATAATTTAAAGATTAGTGGAGTGAACATAGTGTTTGGGTGGAGTGTGACTATCATCACCCTAATGTAAACAACCAAGGATTACAACACAACTAATGCTACATAAATCTCTAGCAACAAAGTGAAACAAGAATTTGAAGTTTATTAATTTAACAGCAAAGCAGAGCAGCTTAGAGCAAGGAGGCAGTGAGCTGACCAGGGCATACAGCAGGGAGGAGATGACAATTGTCCGGTACCGGCCAAGGAACGAGTCCGCAACGAAACCCCCTAAGAGGGGCAAAAGAGAGGCCGTTCCCGACCAGGCGTTCACATTAGCAGCGGCAGTCGCCGTCGATTGACCTAGATGCCCGGTCAGATAGCTTATGAGGTTCGCCCCTATCCCATAATAGGCAAACCTCTCCGCCACTTCAACTCCTAAAACATCAAACGCCTGAATTTAATTTCAAAATGGGGAGTAGAGAAAATTGAAATTGGGAAAGCGATTGAGCTTTTACCGATGATGAAGGATGCGGATCTCCATCGGCCCGTTCTGAATCGGGTTGCGGGTCGGCCTTTGAAATCGACGGAGCCACGGACGATGTCTTCTCGATTAGAATGGGTTTCGGCGTCGGGAAGAACAAGTCCTCCGTTGGCGGCCATGTTCCTCCGCCGCGAACGCCGAAAAGTTGATTGAGGGGTGGGATTTCGTCATGATCGATCGATATTTCGGCCATTCATATGCGCTGTGCGCGCCTATCAGCCAGACCTTGTCCAGATTCACAAAGGGTAGGTGATGAAAATAGGCAAGGGAGAAATTCCTCACATAGAACTTGGCATAGCATGCATACCATTTTTACAAAGTGTTTTCCTAACATAGACTTCGCATAGCATACATACCATTTTTTTATTACTATGGAGTGGTATTATTTAAAGACGCCTGAAATTATTGGCCTCATGCAATGTATCCGTCCCACAGCCATTCATTTTAAAAATATGGGGAGTGTTGAGGGTGTATTAATCCAAATTTTTAAAGATTTCGATAGATTATTTAGAATTCATGGATTTTGTGAAATCAATGAATTATTTTAAGGCGATGTAGAGTTAGATAGATTGTTTATAATCTATAGATTATTTGAATATACATTTGAATTATTTTAAAAATTCATACATTGTTCTAACATTAATTATTATTTATGGAATTGACCAAAAAATTTAAAAATAATATGATAAAATAAAAATAAATTATTTTTTAAACATTATTATTATTATAAATTTATTAGCATAAAATAATATATTTATCATTGTCCTAAGCAATAAATTTGTTTTGTACGGAGTAACTTAAAGCATTATTATCTCTAAATTATTTTTCATGTATGATAAAATTTATCAATAAAAATCTAAAAACAATACAAAAGAAGGCATTACCCAAAATTCAAAGATAATTTAAATATTAAATTTTTAAACAACACAGTCCTCTAGTCCTCTCTCCCTGCCACTTCCTTTTCCATTTATGACTTATATATGACCAAGGACAAAATATTTTTTTTGAAAATAAGGACAAAGCATAATTAACAAGCAAATTTGTATATGAGTACGTATCATAAGAAGATACTACAAGTCTACAAAACTAGAATACGAGTGTATATGTACCATAGGCATACATATACTCAATTTCTATGCGTGTACAGGCATTGATTGTCTGTGTATGCCTATTTTTACCTTGGTGTAACCAAGTGAGATTTCTCAAAATATCTGTTTTTTTTTAAATTTCTCTTTCTATCGTATCTATTTTACTTGTAAGTTTTTATATAAAAACAATGCAAATTTTTACGTGGCCCTAAAGTTCATGCTATTTTTATAGACTTTAGTACACTTCACATTTGTGATTTGAATCTTAATACTACGGAAGAACAACTCTACGAATAATTATTTGATAAATATTATACTATTCTATAAAACATTAAAATTTCAAAATTACGTTTCAAAAGAAAATTATTGATATATTACATTTATATCGAAACATATTGTATTTTTATAAATATTTTACAAATTTTGACCAAAGTTTACAAATCTTGACCATGAAATATCAAATGAGAATTTATATCTGGATGAAGATCTAAAGTATACAAAACAATAAGTGAAGGGAATATTTTATTTTATTATATGATCAACGGAAACATGCAGATAAATAAAAATTATCGAGAAGCCTAAATAACAATTATGGTGATAGTTCTGAGACGAAGGAAGTATTATAGTCTAAGATTTATTTTATTGTATAATTATCATTTTAAAATAACTATTGTAAAATTCATCTCTCAAAACCCATTATATCTTAGATAATACAAATGTGACAAATATATTTTTTTTGCCTCTCATTTTTAAGAGTGTTATTCACTGCATTGCAAATAAAGAAATTAAATCTCCCTTGATAAGAGTAAAAAAGTATGAAAATATTGAAATAAGAATCCTGAGTCTTTTCATACCAGAATATGAGTAAAATAACAATGTGATGTAATAGTACGTGTTGGTAGTGTGATAGAAAAACTGATGGCAATTAATGTAATATGACTGTGTAACCAATCAACGGTTGGTGATCGGTAGCGTCACTCTGGTGGCTGGACGCGAGGTATGACAGTGTGGCAGACGGGCAGTGATAGTGTAGTAGCTGCTATGTGAAAATGTTGCGAGAATAAAGTGTAACAATAGAGTGTAAACTTTCATTTTGATCTTAAAAGACTTAAGACTCATATTGTAGTGTTTTCATAGTTTTTTTACTCTTATTCAGGAAATTCTCTCATTACAAAATGCATATAATTTTTTAGAATGAACCAAAAAAAATGTAGAAAGTGAAAGATGCGTGATATGCTTGTCTGTATATGAATTGTTTGATAATCTAGACTTTAAATTTTTAACTAATTGGAGTGATCGGATATTAGAGCAACAAGATTATTACGTATATTAGAGAAACAAGATTATACTCACACTAGGTGTGAGTGTCATATTAGTTAACGGAACACCTACGCTTCTCCGTTCAAAAAATTGATTGTTCATATTTCCTCTACTTTTCCTGCACTGTCCCTTACCTCCCACCCCAGCCCCTCAGCTCCAAATCGACGAACTTAATTATACATTAGAGAATTACCGATATTATATTAGAGGCTTTAGTTATATATTAGAAACAACATACTCCGTAACATGGAAAATAAATAGGGGCACGGTAATAGAGACTGTAATTTTTTTACCGAGCACCAAGGTATCGAGTGGCACTAGACCCTCTCTGTGCAGCACGGTTGCTGCCAATGCAATGTGGTCTATAGTGCCACTGGAGTTTGGGGTACGTACGATGCTCTATTTACAAGATTGATGATTTCTTCCCATCAACCCCTCAATAAACTCCCTCGCTATACTTGAACCCCCCCAAGTTTAGTTGACTTTGAAGTTAAAATTTTGACTCCAAAGTCAACTAAATTTGGGAGGGGGGGCTAATTGACAGGAGTGAGGCCGGGCCATAGTAGGGGTTTACTGAGGGAGGAGTGGTTACGACTTACGAGGTAGGAACCATCAATTTTTCAAACTAAGCACCAAATTCTTAAAAATTTTAAAATTTAGAGAAAACCAAAATTCTTATAAAAAGTATTGCTTGCAACTTTTTCCATCTTCTTCCAGTTTCTTCCAGCTTCTAACAGTTTATCCAACTCCTTCCAGTTTCTCCCAATGACGACTAAAAATATTATTTACATATGATGAATATACAATAACACCATATATCAAAATTTATAACATACCACCTCAAACACAATCAAAGATGAATTTCTTATCCAAAATTAGTTTTCTTACATATTTATTTGGGTGATTATTTAATTGAGTGATTTTTTAACCCTTTATTTTTTTGAACATTTTCCAACTCCTTCTAACATTTTTCAAGTCCTTCGAATTTCTATCAACTTCTTTGTGTTTCTTCCAACTTCTTCCAGTTTCTGGATTGTGTAATGGGACAAGATTAATCGTTCAAGAGCTGCGAAATAATGTTATCGATGCAATTTTGGTTTCGAGAAGTCGAGTCAGGGAAAAGGTTTACATCCCTAGAATGAGTTTGGTACCATCTAATCTAGGACTACCCTTGAAGTTCCAAAGAAGACAATTCTAGGCCGCCTTATGTTTTGCTATGACTATAAACAAAAGTCAAGGTCAAACATTGTCATTTGTGAGATTATTTTTAACCAAGTTGGTGTTCACACATGGTCAACTTTTTGTTGCTATTTCACAAGTGAAGACAAAGACATGATTAAAGATATTGGTTCTAGATGACAATGGAAACCCTTGCAACCATACCAAAAATGTTGTATACCCTAAAGTCTTTCAGAAAATTTGGTATTAAAATAAACATTGTTAACTCTACATTCAGTTCCTCAAATATTATTTATTTTACTTTGGCATTTTTCATCTGTAGTATTAAAAATCATGCGAGCAATATATTTTCTTTAATCCGAAAAAAAAACTTCATTGAAATAATTAGAATCGACATAAATTTCGTTCGACCCCGTGCATGGCACGGGTCAGAATACTAGTGTTACAAGATTTAGATTCACGGCTTTTGAGTTTTGAGTAGCCTAATGGGTATATCATATTTTAAATGAATATATAAAACTAAATAACTAATAGAAATAAACAATTAAGTGCATAACTCGTCGGGTCAAACCCGACACGACCCGTTCTAACCCAAAAAATTAACGGGTCTTCGTGTTCGGGTCGCAAAATCAATCTTCAAAACCCGCTAATTTCGAACCGGGTTTCGGATTAATAACAGGTCGGGTCAAATTCTGCTGGGGTTTCGGATTTAGGTCGGGTTAGTTTTCTATTTTGGTCGCCAATTGCATCGCTATTTTAGCCGATGGAATATTTCTGCCATTTATTCTGTCACTAAGGTCTGTCGTTTTTTTTGTCGTTACATAGTGACATAATTCAAAATTATGTCATCAGACTTAATACTAACAAAAAACGACGGAAATATAACCATCATTATTTTATTGTTGAAGGCAATTACCTACTGAAATTAGGTTTTGGCGATAGAATTTTTCTGTCGTTATTTGATTAGTCTTTTGTAGTGAGTATCTCACTTCTTATTTCCTCTTGCTGCCTTCTTTTTTATTACTTCAATAAACCCATCAGTATGGTACCCGCCTTCATTTTATTGGTTATTTATTTGGATGGGTTTTGATTACCTCTTTCTTGTCTCCATCAACCATATCTTTCTTTTCTCCTTTCTGTTCTTGTTTCTCTTTCAACAACTTAGGTTTCCATATCATCATCTTCTCATTCTACCCCTCTTTTTTCCTTCTTGTATCCTCCATGTGTCCTATTCCTTTGCAACTTATATAGATGGTAGGACACCATTCATACTGGATAAGTTGTGTTATGGGCCTATTATTCTCATTAGCAAACAACACTTTATATGGGAGCTGTTGATTAATACTTATAACAACTCATGATCTGGCAAAGTCCATTTTGGTTCTTGTTGATGTAACCTTTTCAACTTTAATATGTTTCCCTACCAAACTTCATATCTTGCTTAGGCCAGTCAAACTCCAATATTTTAGCTCCAATTCTGGTAGTTGTATCCATATTGGCACAACTGTAAGATTGTTCAGGTCTACATGACATCGAAGTTTTTACTTCCTTATATATAATAGCTTATTATTAAATAGGTAGAATTTCCTCTGAATTGCATTTTCTCTTTTTTTAGACTCAAATCTCGCCATAAACTACCTAGGTTTGAGGTAACTGATCTCATCAATACTATATTCTTTCCATATCCTAACTAGGAAACCCTTTATCACTAATAAGGGGGGTATTAGCTCCAAAAACACACACAGCTACATCAGCATTCCAAAAAGTAGTAGATAAAATAACATCACCACTTATAAGTCTAGAAAATTTATTTCCATTCAATTCCTCAGCTTCAATATATGTAAGTTTACCTTCATTGGTTTCAGTATTGCACCTACTGCCTCTATATAGGTCTTGATCTGACCTCCCTCATTCGGAACCTTGTTGTTCCTCTCCCCTTCCTCTATTTCAGCACCATGAATGGTGATACCCTTTGATTCCTCAAGGATAATGGTCTTGATCTCCTTGGTTATCCTCTAATATCTTCGCAAGATGGATTTCCACCTCAACCTTAGATGATGATGGTGGTAATCCTGATCGAGTTGCAGATTGTGGATTCTTCTTTGATTTCAATGATGACGGTGTATTAGATCTCGTTGGAATTGAGTCGATTGTATCTTGTTTCTCCGGTCTCCCTCTCCCCGCCATAGCTAGAGAGAGAAATCTATAGGGCGGGTTATTTTAAATATTTTTGTTGTAATGTAATATTTGTTTGAGTTATATGCATATATAGTCCTTGTGGTGTTTCATAAATAAGTAAATAGTCCCCGAACTTTAAAAATTATCAAACAGTTTCCCTGTGGTGAAACAACCCTCGCATAATTAGTTCCTACATTAGAAAGTTCGTAAAATGTACACAACGCGCATGTATTATGCAAAAACGTCAATCATGTAATGGTAAAAAAAGCTAATATGAAATTTCAATTGTGATGTGTAACTTTGAACCATAGTACAATATCCCCCATCTTTTAGTTTAACTCTTACAACAAATTCTCTGTCTTTTCTATAGTGATATTCTTGAATCGTAGTGCACTGTTCTATACAAGCTCAACATACTTCTGTTTTTCAAGTAGCTTTATTCTAAGGTAAAATCGTGTGAGAAAAGAGCTAGAAAAAGGCCATTCATTGTGTTTTACCGAAGACAAGGGCAATTTCATGAGATAAACTTCTTTTTGTTACATGTTTCACATTTTCACATAGTACGTCTATGTTCTGTGTGCTTTACATTTTCTTTAAAGAAGGGACTAATAATGCATCAGCTCTTTGACCACATGGATTATTTTGCAAATTTTAAAAGTACATGAAAGCATGAGAGTCGACGTCCTGACCACATGGATTATTTTGACCACATGCACTATTAGTGCATTTAACTCTATTTGTTTATACATACTTTTCTCAACTTATTAAAGCATGAAAGTCAACGTCCTGATTTGGATGCACTTTTTATCCAAAACAATTGCAAGTAGTTATCTTACGACACAAGTCAAGAAGAAAGTTCTAACTTTTTATCAACCATGCTAGGGGTACCCAAAAAGATGTACCCCAAAGGGACACACGACATTTTAACGGTTTACACTGACACAAAATGTTAGTTCAATAAAAAAATTGTACTAGCATTTTGTGTTAGTGTAAATTATCACACTAATATTAAAATAACACAAAATGTTGATGTATGTATTTGGGATATAAAGCGAGATACAAGTTTTGATACAGAAATAACTTAATTCAATCTTTTATTATTTGTGAATGGGTTGAGAAAAAAGAACCAGAGTTTGAGGGGCAAGGGGCGGATTTGGCATTTCAAAAAACCTAATGGACTTTTGTGCAGTAACCCGGACACACCCGAATGACACATAAACACGTAAAGTCTAGCGATCGAGCTTTGAGAATCCCCTCCTCCCTGTTCAGACCTCAGATCCAGAAAGAAAAGAGGTAGAAAAAGAAACGGAGAAGAAGAGGCTTCCGCCTCCCTTCAACACTTGCAATTGCTCCTTCCAAGCACGCCACCATGCTTGCTTCCTCCCGATCGCTCTCCGTTTTCCTCATCTCCGCCGTCCTCCTTCTCGTCCCGATCCTCGCCAAGGTAGAATCTTGAAATCATCTCTCGCGAGAAGTTTGTTGTTTTCGAATTGGGAGAATGCAGATCTCGTGCTACATTTCTTAGCTTTCAGAGCTATGGGTTTCGTCATTCGAAACTCGTCCGTAATCCCTTAGTCGTATTGGTTTCAGATTTGTAAAATACAGGATCATCTCGATATAGGATCAGTCTTTAATTGCTTAGTAGTACAATGATGTGTGCGGAGATGGATTCGATTTATGGGAATGCTTTATGGCTTTTTTCTAATCTCACATGGATTTACAGTTTTCTCTTCCTCATCTTCTTAGTGTCCCAAGTTATTTATTAATTGAGTGCTTACAAGTGTATGTAGATGTCAAATAATATGGAAAGTCTCATTTCTATCTTCTGATTGGATCTGCTCTCAGTGACATCAGGGTGCATTTTGTTTACACAATGGAAGATGTAGTTTCCATAGGAAATCAAAATGCCTCATTTAGTTGAGAATAACTGCACATGCAACTGACACTTCTACTTTGTGTAAATATTTTATCCGCCTGTAAGATCTTCAAGTTGCAGTTCCATAAAAATTTTGATTTTGGATTTATCATAATAATGACTTGTATGCTTAGTAGTGGACTGCCTGTCTTTCTTTCACTGCCTCAATTTTAACTTACTGAATGTGAAAAGTTAAAACACTGCATCATTTAAAAAGTCATGAGATTGTTCTGTAAATAGAACCCTCATGAACACTTGTGCGGGCTGGCATTGGCGAGTATTTAGTTTTCCACAAATGAAGGACTTGGGATAAGTCAATTTTCAGTCTAAACTACTATTTAAGGATTTGTTACTTCTCTGTTGCAGTATATTTTCAACTACACATTTACATGCAATATTATTTCCTAACATCACTTGTGTAATCTAATTACATTGGTATTTATTGCAGTACCAAAATGATGATCCTGTTACTTTATGGGTGAACAAGGTTGGGCCATATAATAATCCACAAGAGACCTACAATTATTATACCCTTCCATTTTGCCGCCCACCTGGAACTGCAGCACACAAGTGGGGTGGACTAGGAGAGGTCCTCGGCGGGAATGAGCTTATTGATAGTCAAATTGACATTAAATATAAGAGTATGCTGATAATTGTATTAATAGAGCACATTCCTAGATTCGTGTTATGTCTTAAAGTACACATTCTAAAGTTCAATGTGCTTTTTTGCAGAAAATGTAGATAAAAGTTCTATATGTGAACTTGAATTGGACTCAGCTAAGGTTAAACAATTTAAGGATGCAATTGACAATTCGTATTGGTTTGAGTTTTTCATGGGTATGTTCTCAAGTTTCCTTCCTTTATAGTTTATACTGCTGATTTGTTGATGGATATCTCTCATTCATGCACTTATGGAAGTCCCTTAAAACACTATGGTTTAGATGATAACATGACTATTATTACAATTTTAATTGCCATATTGACAATTTTTTTTGCCTTGACATATATCATGGTTATGGTTGCTGCAATCAGATGATTTACCACTTTGGGGTATGTTAATTTGTTCTTTAATACTTTTCTTTTCATGGTAAAATTGATGTAAATGAGTTCTTCCCTGATGTGCATAAAATTTCAGGTTTTGTTGGAGAAGTGCTCCCTGATAGAAATCGTGATACTAAACATGTTCTGTATACTCACAAGAATGTTCTGATACAGTACAATGGGAACCAGGTACCGGAGTTCTAAAATTCATTTTTTGCTTGCTTCATAAATCCAGCTCCTTTTGATGGTGGTATTTTATTGTAGATCATTCATGTGAACCTTACTCAAGAGGGCCCAAAACCACTTGACGAAGGTAAAACATTAGACATGACATACTCAGTGAAGTGGGTTCCGACTAACATTAGTTATGCACATCGCTTTGATGTTTACTTGGACTATCCCTTCTTTGAGCACCAGGTACTTGTTAATTGTAACAGTCTTATATCAATTTATGCATTTTCTAATCATGCAGTTTGCTTTGTTTGTCTTTAATTTTTCTGATACAGAATTTAGAAGAAAAGGAAAAACCATATGAGAAAGAGTTCCACACTGAAACAACATATGTCATTTTATGTTTAGAGTAGATTTTATCAGTTTAAATTTATTGTATTTAGGTGAATCTTAGTGAGGGTATAAATATTTTCACCCACTGCATTGTCTCTGTGTCTGCCACTTTCCTATTTCCCATGAAACAAAGGCAACTTAATACAGCTGTTAAAGCTTTGATATGGTCTTTCCTTTTACTTTACCTAATAGGAAAATTAATTCATGACACGCTAACTTTTTCAATGAATAAATAAAAACTTAATTTCAGGTCTTCAGTTCAATATAGAATAACTAGAGTCTTAAAGGAGGTTTGATTAAAAAATATTGCTCGTGTCACAATATAGGAGAGTCACGTTTCAAACTATTCTCGTTTAAAACATTTCTTCCCTCCATTTTTGTTGGCGTGCTAGAAAAGTCCATGGATTATTATCTTTGTAGAGTCTAGGACACTGAGTGTTAAGCGAAGAATTCCATTGCTGCTAACATATTAAAAAAACATCTAAACTTTAATACTCCATTAGTCTATTTGTCAAAGTCTATTCGTCTAGTTTGATTTTTTTCCCAGTCAAACAGGTTCATCAGTAAAATAAAAATTGCATGAAATCATATTTTAGATGAGACTCCATATTTAGTTTGGATTGAGTTTTGTTTATAATACTGTTGGTGCTTTTATAATCTCTTTATCAATTAATTTATGAAAAAGCATCTTCTTCTGTAAAGTTTCAGATGGTGTGATCTGTAATTGATTTTCAAGAAATAGATTGTGAACTGCTGCTCTTCTCTTTCAACTTCCTACCGAGTTTTTTTAATTACAAACTTGTTTTTACAGATCCACTGGTTCTCTGTATTCAATTCGTTCATGATGGTTATCTTTCTCACTGGCTTGGTGTCTATGATTTTAATGCGAACTCTTCGTAATGATTATGCTAAGTATGCCCGTGAGGATGATGACTTAGAGACACTGGTAAAAATCAAAGCCTTGCTCTTTTTCATGTTACACATCAGCAAGTGAGCTAGTCACATATTGTTGCTTTTCCTTTTCGAGTATCTGTGGTGTATTTTTATGCTTACTGACTTTAACCACAGGAAAGAGATGTCAACGAAGAGTCAGGTTGGAAACTTGTCCATGGTGATGTTTTTCGATCCCCACAGAATTTAGCGCTGCTTTCAGCTGTCGTTGGCACTGGTGCTCAGCTTGCGGCCCTTGTTCTCCTTGTCATTATATTGGCCATTGTTGGAATGCTGTACATCGGGTATGCCACCATGATCTTTACAAGTGATATTCCATCTTATATGCCCCTGAGGTGTACTTCAATTGGGTAGCATGGGGAAAAGAAAATCTTCTCCATCCCGGGGGACAATGGTTCAAGAGTCACATCAAGTGGTGTCCATCTCTTTGCTTGATGAGTTTAGTGTCACTTTATAGGGAAATGACACTTCTTTGTCCCTCAATTATGGGTAGTAGTACATTTAGTCCCCCAGTTATCTGGTCACCATGTTTAGTTCATACAATACGTAAAGGGGGTGATGTTAGCCCTTCATAAATTACATGTCATATTTCACTTTTCCTTTTAGTATAAACCAAACATCTTCTATTCCCCTTTATTGTAGTTATAACAAGCATATTCTTATAAGGGTGTGTTTGGTTAGAGGGTATGAGGAATCAGGATTTGGGGTTTGGGAATCCCAGACTGATACCAATTGTTCAGTTGCATTTTTCTTCCCGTTGTCTCACTCACTCTCCATACCCCCAAGAATGTGTTTCTCATACCATCCTCCCTGCTTCGGTATGAGGATTGTTCCTTTTTTCTCAGCCACAGTCCCTTCATGGCTGAGCCTTCTACCTTCATCACTTATTCCTCCCCATGGCTTGGGCCTCTCAATGCTCCATTTCATTTCCTCCCTCTGTTCACATTCATTCCCTCTTTTTCACATCAGTATTAGCCACATAATTCCACTTTTCTTAATATGCATACCACTGCCCTATGTCCTGAAAGTAGTGGGACACAGGGAGTAATAAAGTAAAAATCAAGCTATTTTGCAATACAACGCTTTTTGATAATTTTACTTTCTTTTATTGTTAAGTTGACAACAATTTTCTCTGAGATGTAGTTTTTTTTTGAGCGTTTGGCTGCAAAATGGCAAATGCAACTTAATATTCTTAAATTTCAAAGTTTAAGGATTCAACTTCTATTATGGCTTAGAGGAATGAAGAACACAATTTTAATGAGAATTAAAGGGACTATAATTTGTGGCACTCTACCATTGTGCTAATGTTGTACGGAGTAGTTGTATACTGGTATTACATTTACACATACATCTGATAAGCAGTAGCATTGGATCTCTTAGTATGGCTACTCTTTGGTTTATATTACTTGTGATTTTGTCTTATACAGTCTGCTCCATTGTTATGTGTCTCAGGAGGGGTGCAATTATAACCACCTTTATTGTATGTTACGCTTTTACGTCATTCATTTCGGGTTATGTGAGTGGTGGAATGTACTCCCGCAGTGGTGGTATGTGGTCTTTCTGTTCTTTTGCTGATACTGTTATTGGCAGTTGCTTTAGTAGTTTTAAACTACCGGGATTGCACTAATTTTTGCTGCTTGTTTGTATGGATGATGTCAGGCAAAACATGGATAAAGTCAATGGTTCTTACAGCATCACTCTTTCCTTTCTTGTGCTTTGGAATCGGGTTCATCTTGAACACAGTTGCAATATTTTATGGGTCTTTAGCTGCTATTCCCTTTGGGACGATTGTGGTTGTTTTTGTCATTTGGGCATTTATTTCGTTCCCTCTTGCCCTTCTTGGCACTGTTATTGGAAAAAATTGGAATGGCACTCCTAACAATCCTTGCCGTGTGAAGACCATCCCACGTCCTATCCCTGAGAAGAAATGGTATCTCACACCATCGATTATTTCACTTATGGGAGGTCTTCTTCCCTTCGGAAGTATTTTCATTGAGATGTATTTTGTCTTCACTTCCTTCTGGAATTACAAGGTGATGTCCCTTGTAGATTATTTAATAGAGACTCTTTTTTTCTTTAAGAAGAGTCTCTCTGTCCTTTAATGGATTTGCATTATTCATGACTTGATTTTTGTTTTCTGGGTTTCCAACAGGTTTACTATGTATACGGCTTTATGCTTCTGGTTTTTATTATTTTGATCATCGTCACAGTGTGTGTAACAATTGTGGGCACATATTTCTTGCTTAATGCTGAGAACTACCATTGGCAATGGACATCATTTTTCTCCGCAGCATCCACTGCTCTTTATGTGTACCTTTACTCTATATACTACTATCATGTAAAGACCAAGATGTCGGGGTTCTTCCAAACCAGCTTTTATTTTGGATACACGTTGATGTTTTGCCTTGGGTTGGGAATACTCTGTGGTAAGTTACGGATATTCTTAATTTTATTATTATTGTTGTTTATTATTAATATTACTATTAATATGCTTATTGTCATGTGGATTTGCAGATATCCCTACTGTCATTCTTGCCCTCTTTATTTCTACTTTTTTAGGAATTAGTTTCCATCTGTCCATTACAAATGGAGCTAAATGAGTCAATATTGACAATGTTTTACTTTTGGGCATATCATGGACTAAATCAAAAGTGGAACATTAAACTTCCCTTCTTAGGCTGCTCACCTTATCTCATTGGTTCTGACCTGAATTTTTCCGATCTGATCTGAAATTGTAGTGCAATTTAAAGTTGTTGCTGATTTGGTTTGGCCTGATGATCTTATTCCAATAAGAATAAGTCATAAGTAAAAAAGGCTGAATAGAACAGGCCCTTAGTTTGTGTGAAGTTCTTGGCAATAAATGCAACAATTTATTTGGGGTCAAACAGACCAGCATACTGTTTTTACATGGGTTAGGCTGCGTAGATTTTCACCCCTCCCCGGGATCCCAATCCCAACAAAGTTGGGATTTTACTAAGTTGTTGAATTTTCCAGTTTTTCTGTAATCAGTTTCTTGTTGTGCCTCGTTATGTGGTCATTAAAATCTATGTGACAAATGTCTTGGTTTATTTCGTAATGCTTGCAGGTGCAGTCGGGTACTTGGGCTCTAATTTGTTTGTCCGGAGGATCTACAAGAACATTAAATGCGACTAAACATCTCCGTGATCCACCATTTGGCTTTTGTTTTGGGTATTTGATGCAGCAAATATGTTTTACTTGCAGCGACCAAGTCTCGTGTATCACTTGGTAAAATGCTCAAGATTTTAGGATTTATATGCTTTAGTGGTGGCGAATGAACATTGTAGATTATTATTATATACCGAGAATCAAGGAAAGCTCAAAGTTGGGAGGGAGTAAGAGTAATTTTTATTTTTTAAATTTGAATAGATGCTGCAAATCATGTAGAGCTATGTATTAAGATTTGGTGTCTGAATAATCATCCTTTTGACTCTTTTTGTAAACCAAAGTTGTCCTTTACACCTCATTTTGGACTCAATTTTGATATATACTCTACCTTCTCACTATGTCTCATTTTTTCAAACTTTGCCAATGTCTCATCATATTTGGCTATGTTTATGTCTTTCAAAATTATCCTAACTTATCACCAATTAGTATAAAAAGTGTTTCCTGGCAAACACAACAACAATATAACGTTTTCTGGCTTTCTGCTCACCCTTGGGCAGAATTCAAGTTGTGTTTACAACTTTTCGCATGTTTTTTATATGCTCCACTTGGCCCACAATGATAATAAAGGCAAAATTCTGCGATTGAAAGTGTGTATATCCCACAAGTATAAAGGGTAACTTCAATCATCTCTCACATATGTCAATTATACTTTATACCCTGTAAGTATATTTAATTTTAAAGTCTAATTTTAACTTCAAAGTTAACAAAAATTGTGGGGTACAATTGATGTGGGTGGGGGATGAGTTAGGGTTGAGATTGGGCCGAGTGGTTTTTCGGGAGGGTTAGGTGAGGTAGGAAACATATTACGAATGGAGCACCGTAGGTAGGGATGTAAACAAATCAAATATTTTAAATTCGATTCGCGATTCGTATTTGAATATGATGATTCGAATTAACGTTATTCAAATACAAATTCAAATTCAAATATTATTTTTGATTCGAATATTAATCAAATACAAATACAAATAGGGATATATTTGATTCGGATGATATTCGAATATTCAAATATATGCATATATACACAGACCATGTTTTCAACATCAAAAGTCAAACAAAGTAATATACGGAGTAGTATCAAGTGTATTTAAAATACTAAGAATTCAATAAATTAACGTAACACAAAAATCTAACGCATATGATTTTTAATAGTTATATTTTATAAAATATAATTTGTGTAAGATGCAAATGTATTAATGTTTTTATATAGGGAATATAGTATAGTATAAAGAGTATCGTAAGTTAAATTACAAATTGATGTTGGTCCATCATATAAATTACATAGTATGATTATTCAAATATTCGTTTATGATTCGATAACTATTCGAATATTAATCAAATATTTATTCAAATCTTATTTTGAATTCGTCTCATATTCGAATTCGGATTCGTATTCGAAAAAACTAAACAAATACAAATTCAAATATATCGGTATTCGCTTCGATTCGATTCGTTTACACCCCTAACCGTAGGTGTCTGTAGGGGATAGTGGCTTCTGTAGCTACTGGAATCTAGTGGCCATGGACTCGGGCTCGTAAAAAGGGTAACTTCGATCGTCATCTCAAGATTTTGTATAGAGTACATATATATTGCTATTGTTTGTGTCACACATACAAACTAGAAAAGAAAATATATTGTGTATAGAAGGAGAAATAATATATACTCCCTAAAAAACATCCTCGTTCCTTTTTTTTTTTTGAAAAAATGGAAAACTTTGAGCCTCACAATCTGTCTCTATCATCTACATAACTTTCAATCATATACTTTCACTTTTCTTCAACCGTGTTAAGTCAAACTAATAACTTTTTTAGGTGGAGGGAGTATTTGAATTTGTATTTAGTTCGGATCATCATATTCAAATATAAATTACGAATTGATTTGAACTTTTTTCATTTTGTTTATATACTCCATCAATGCAAAAATTATTTTTCCACCCACTATTCACAGAATCAAACTTTATTCACATTATTATTTATTTTTGTTGCCAATTTGATAAAATAATAGTCATCTCACTTTTAATTTTTGTTGATCTTTTGATGTAGTTTTTAAATATGTAATTTTTATTTTTTAGTTTCACAATATTTTTCATATAAAATGATTGAAAATAACTTCATTCAAATATCATAAATATAATTTTTTGGATGGAGGGAGCCATTAAGAAAACAAATTAGCCTAAGGTCGGACATGCATATATATATTGTAAAGCCAATAGGTTTCTCCATTCAAGACCCATATATAATGCAGTATACATATATACACTTACTGCAGATGAAGGAATTCATAACCTACCACATCACCTTTAAAAACAGAATACAACTAGACTGTACAGATGAAGCAGCAATGCATTTTCAGCAATAAAAACCTGCTGCTCAATGATTTTAACCTCCTCAGCACCCCCATTAGGCGGAGAGGTCATCCATGGCTGCAAGCAAGGGCGTTTAATGTCAAGCTTTGGGAAGCTTATCTTCCCCAATCAGCCATCTAGTCAACTGGCTTGGATCAGCAGCCCAAACTCTACATGACTCTGGGAAAATGCCTAGATCAGCGCCGATCTTGTGAATACCATTCAGTGCAGATTCCATCTCTGCTTCCACAGCAGCATCATCCACCATGGCATCAATTGAACCCATGTTTAAAAGGTTGGCATAATATTTCTCCTTCTCTGAGTCGTTGCTGAACGGTTCCATTGCAGGACCCTGCTTTTTCCATAACCATCAAGGAAAACACAGTATATGTTTCAACTAACTATTTATGAATTATGATAACACATCTTTGCATGTAAAAAGCATGACATTCAAAATCTAATCTGCCCTGAAAAAGTACCCAAGAATGAGAGAAGCAATTGTGCCGTAAAAGTCCATACTTGGATAAGTTCAGCATAATGCCGGAAGATTTCACTGCTTTCATCTTGATCACCAATCAACGTACCCCCATACCAGCCATTTGCCTCATTTACAGTGGTCATCGCAAGGTATCTGAAGGAGACGTGAAACATAAGAACATCATAGTCAACATAGGAAACTTGGTTATGGCAAGCATTGAAAACATTGATCAACTTGACTTCAAGAAGGCCAGGCAGAAAGCAACGAAAGGGGCCAACAATCATACTGAATGAACTAAACCAAGAGGCATATCTTCGTAAAAAGCCCACGCATATTTTCAAGAAAATACCTTTGAAAAATATCCTCATCACTGGTGGCACTAATGGCAGAGAGCCAGTCACATAAACCATCTTTTCTCTTCTCATCCTGGGAAGCACCATTAGGAACTTCATTTGAGCCCAACTTGGATGCTGTGTTATTATCTTCATACTTCCTCTGTCCAAATAACCAATTTGGGCTCCTAAGTTGTATCTCACTGCAATTACAAATTGAGGAATGAGGACAATTAGCTGATTTAACTCTGCCATAGATTGCCTTGACCAAAATCTATAACACCAAGAGTATGTGCAAGAAGAAATAGTTTCTATCCTTGCTAACAAAGTAACAAGAATATTGGCACAAACTTCAAAGTTAAAGGAAAAGTGAGTAACAAGAGGAGCAGAGACAAGAACTTACGCCGCATCAGGAGCAACTCCAGAATTTCCAGGCTTTTGTTCAGTTTCACTGCAAAGTCGGACATTTTTGATATAACTGCAAGTTCTTTCCATCAGTTTATCAAAAGAAGTCAACTTCATGCGTGAGAAGTCCTCCTTGCAAGCTGGAATAGGAGCTAGAGTTGTCCCCTTTCCAGCAGGCTCTTTCCCAACCAAAGAACTGTAAATTGAAATTCAGTAGATATTAGTATAGGGAGAAGGAAGGGGGGAAATATGATTGCCACATTCACTGGATTTGTATATCTTTAACTGAAACTGTTTTCACAATAAGTTTCCAGTCTACGATAATAGACCAACCTCTAAGAAATGCTTTAACTAATCACGTGTCACATTTTAACAAAAAAGCCAATGAAATGATTAACTCGTTGACGATGATAAAAGAAATGGTAAAGATATCACATGAAGAAATGATTTACACATTTCCCCTAAGGGTAGTTATTAAAAAATGTCCACATCTACAATGAAACCTTTTCGAGTAATAGAACATGTGCATCTCTACGGAATAGATTTTGATCCATAGAGTGTTCGTGGATGGAACTATGAAACATAACTTAAACAAGTCATAGCTTGAAAGTAAACCAACTCTGAGGGAAAATGTCTACTTGAATCTAGGCTAGTATTTTTAATAAATTTATCGTATTTTTCTAAATGATTATGTTATGATGGCATCATTGCTTATGTCATCATGAGATCATTCTATCCCTATAAATTTGGCTCCTTGTAGAGATCATTAGTGTAAGGAAAATCAAAATGGTTCTTTTGACCTTAGAAAGTCGGGTCATATTATGACCCGGGGTCCCTACGGTGCACCATTCGTAAAATTGATGGTTCCTACCCCCCCTAACCCCACCCCCCAAAACCCTACCCCCTACCCCTACCTGCCCACCCCACCACAGCACCCCCCGTGTCCCCCTCCCCATTTCGTCGATTGTCTACAGTAATAATATGACCGGAGGTTCTAAGGTCAAAATATCCTTGCTCAAGGAAAATACTACCTTAATAATATCTTTACCTAAGGTTGAAATTATCAATTTTTATGCTTCAAATTTATGGAAAAATCGAAGGATTTTTAAAAAGGATATCGATATCGTAACATTTTTTGAAAAAAAAACTACAGTTTTTAAGTTCTTTACAAGAACAGCCCAATATAATCCCAACTCTAGGGGGTCAAGTTGTACGCAACCTTTTCCCTGTAAAAAACAAAGAAGTTTCCATTGTGTTGGTGCGTTTACTCCCCAAAACTACACAAAAAGTGAAAAGGGATGTTTGATGTGCCATTTTGAGTGAGTAGATTATTTACTCAAAATTAAGAAAATCAATAGTGATACTATAAGGTAATTAGTCACATCATGAAGTTCTGAGAAAAAAATAATAGAGATAAGGTTGATAACGAGATAGACACATCCGAGAATCAATTTGGTTTCATGCATAGTCAGTAAACAACATAGGTCATTCACCTCTTGAGAAGGCTGATGGAGCAGTATAGAGCGAAGAAGAGGGACCTACATATGATGTTTATACTTTATACTGTTCATTGTTTCAGAGAAGTACAAGAGAGTTCCAAGGAAGATCTGATGCAGGTGCCTGGAATACAGAGGGTTTGATCGCTTACATCCGAGATGTTAAGAACATGTATGATGCCTGATGGGGCGAAGACCAGGGCGAGATAAATTGGAGGTGGCTCAGATCACTTCCCAACAAAAATGAGTTTGCATCAGGGTCTGCCCTCAGTCCTTTCCTGTTTGTCTCGATGGTGAATGTTCTGATGCGTGATATTCAAGGAGAGCTACCATGGTGCATTGAAACATGTTTGTGGATGACATTGTTTTGATTGACCAAACGCATGAGGGCCATGGGTTGGAGGTGTGGAGAGTGGGACGGACTTTGGAGTCCAAAGGTTTCAGATTGAGCAAGACTAAGACTGCGTATGTTGAATGTTACATCAGTGGTTTGATGACCAAGTCAGAGGCGGAAGTGAAGACTGATACGCATCTACTACCGATCCATCATTCAAGCTTATGGGGTGATAGCTGGGGATATTATTCATTACAGCGGAGCAGTTTGGATGAAGTGGAAGCTTAATTCAGGTGTCCTATGTGACAAGAGGTTATCAACAAAGCTTAAAGGGATGTTCTATCATAGTTATCACGGCACCAAAGCGAGGCGCGGCGCCAGTGTACCGCTATGACGCCGACTATGAGTATAGAGCTGATTGTTAGGACTTAGAAAGTGAAGAAAACTCAAATTCGAAACCTCTAAGTGACAGAGATGAAGTGAGATGGATGCATGATCACACGAGGATGGATAAGGTCCAGAAAGCTATTCAAAGAAGGGTGGGAGTGGTCTCTGTGGAGGATAAGCTACATGAAGCTAGACTGAGATGGTTTGGGCATGTACTCGGGAGAAGTACATATGCTCCATGGAGGTGTGCGAGGCTAGAGGTAAGAGACGTTAGGAGGGGTAGAGGTAGACCTAACCAAAGTTGGAAAGAGCTGATTAGACATTATTTACGACTCTAGGATCTTCCTGAGGATATGACCTTAGATAAGAGTGTTCATAATAGAACTCGAGATTGGTGGGGAAAATAAATGAAGGATAGTCTTTATCAAATTATGAGATCAGGATCTAACTTCATAAATAATAAAGATGAAGGAAAATCTTTATCAAAATATGAGCAAGAATCTTAAACTCATATAAGTAATAAAGCCAAGGAGAATCTCCAATAATAAATATTGAATTACTTTTCTGGATAGCTTTACAAATAATGAACCTCAATATTTATAGAAGCCAAATAACTACCAATCCCTATAATTTAGGCCCACTACCACACTACTTAGTAACTATTACTAAACATTAGGTTCACTACCACATTACTTAGCAACTACTCCTAGAATTTAGGCCCACTTACACACTATTTACTAAGTAACTGACATATATAAAATAAAACATTTGACCCGATAAACAATAACCCTAAGGGACTCTACCATAAATATTAATAACATAAAATAACTGCATATGGCACTCTATCAGTTCAAAAGACTAGGATGAATCTTTTTCTTTCCACTTTTTCACCATTTTCTCTTCTCACCATTTCCTTTCACATCATTTTATTTCATTCCATTTTCCTTTCTCATCCAAACAAAGGCTTAGTTCCATTGGCAATAGACCCATTTGTAAATTTTTTAGCGAAATATAATGGTGCCCTTATTTCAAGATCAGTTTTGATATGTTTCCAATGTTTTTCAGAAAATTTGGTATTTTTTATATTATTTGACGTTCTCCAAATATCTCCCAAGGATCAAGAGAATTTTTTTACCCATTGGTATCAGAGACTTCAAAACATGGAAATTGTGATGAAAATTTTGAAAATATCGGAACATTTTCATCATTTCCAATTTACATAGTGAAAACAAGACAACAACAACCGAGTAGAAGAATCCCATGAAAGTAGAGTCTCGGGAGGGTGTGTACGCAGACCTTACCTTCACTTGAAGGTAGAAAGGCTGTTTCCATGAGACCCCGGCTCGAGCAACATAGAAAGCACAGTGAAAGCAAGAAAATCTCAAGAATTTCTAAACAGTGTTTAAAATGTGTACTTATGTCATGAAGTAAATACCCTTTCTCTGGAACAATGTCATCTCCAACACCAGAAACATGAAGATAATAATCAGAATCCAACTCCCAAAGTGCAGGTTTCCCCTCCTGTGGTTGGAAATAGCCCAGAAACCTGGGAAAATAAATTGATCAATACAAATATCCCAATTTGTCCAAATAAATACCGTACATGCATGCTTAAGTTCTAAGAAAAAAGATGGTCTAACATCTTTTTACAACTCCAAATTTCAGATTGGCAAGAAATAAATCAGGACATGCTTTGACACCATACTACCAAGAAGATACTCCATCCGTCCTACTAATCTTTCCTTTTTAACTTTTTGTTCATCCCATTATTTTGTCTCATGCCATACTGGTAATGTTTGTATGGCTCAAATTTTTCCTACTTGTCTTACCTTTTGAAATCATTATCAACCACACACTTCTATTTTTCTCAATTTTTGTGCCACTATCCTATGGCCCAAACATAACAGAGGGAGTAATAAAAAAGCAATAATTATAGCAAATGGGTGGTATTTACAAATTAATTGCATCTTGCTTTTCACCATCAGTATAAGCATTGCTATAATAGCGCTTGATAGACTTTAGAAATTCTCTTGACTGGGTTGTAGCTTTCCACTTTCCCTGCCTTTCAGGAAAAACCTGTGTTCGACAACACAATAAAGTAAAGGTATCACCTATCTCTTACTGAGAAAAGAAGATTTATAAATAAAAAATAATTAAGTATTAAATTTGACTTAATGCAGTACGATGCACATACTGTGTTGTGGGCTGCAGAGCCACCATACTGTTGTGCTAGGGCATCACCCATACTCTGGTACATCTCCATTAGAGCACCAGCAATGCTGCTATCGGCATCCACTTTGGGCTTATCACTCAATGACATTGCATGTAATTGATGACCCAAAGCTTCAAGACCATATGCATATTGGGCTACATTTGTTCGATCCAAGCAGTCTATGCAATTTGTACGGAGTACTCCACTTTGAAAACGTGGTGCATCCTTAGCACAGTTGTCTTTGCCGACTTGCCTATTACTATCCATCTCTCTATCTTGCTTGCCCAATGAACTAAACACCTCATTACCACTACCAACCCTGGGCAAGTCCCCTGAACTAGGCCTCAAATCTCTTAAAGAAGATTCCCTGCATGAAGCAATGATTTAAAAATTAAAAGAAAGAATATCATGGAACAAAAGTAAAGAAATTCGTGACACGTGTCTCAAGAAGCCCAGTGTGAATTACATTGAAACAGCAGCTGAATATGTGAAACATGGTATGCTAGCCCATGTTCCCCTCAACTCATTTTTACATCCAAATGAAAATTTAGGACAACTACCAACCAATATAGGATAAAGTAGCAACATCATTCACATCAACAATAATCTTGAACACTTCTTTTGTGATGAACAAAACTATGTTGATATAATTTTATTTTTAAAAAATATAAAAAACAGTACATAGTTTCTTTTTAAGAACTGCATATCAATTTAAGAAAAGAGAAAAGAACAATAGTTCCACATCACAATGTACTGGATGAGATGAGTACGAGAGAAATACAAAAAAGATAGCATACCAAAGAGTGAGATGGTAGATGATTAAGAGAATTTAGAGAAATATTCGGAATTATATTCATTTATACTCCATCCCAATTTATATTGCCTGTTTTAGTTTACGATGTTTGACTAAAATTATTTTCAAATCATTTTATATGAAAAATGGTGTAAAATTAAACAATAAATATTACATGTTAAATACTACATCAAAAGATCTACAAAACTAGTGGTGACATGGCTATATTATTTTATCAAATGACTAACAAAAATAGAGAAAGAAAGTGAATGAAGTTTGACCATGACACCATGTGAATAGTAAACAAGCAATTTGATTTGGGACGGAGGGAGTATATCTTATTTCAGATATTTTTTGTTGGTTAGGATTTAATTAACAATTGTATTTAATTATTTTTATGGCATGTTTGGGAATTGGAAATTGGATTTCAAATCCAGATTTGGCTCAAATTCCATGTCTGGAAAAGATTTAAAATTTGGATTTGGATTTGAGGCAAATTCCTCTAATTCATTACAAAGCTCAATTGCAAATCCATATGTCTCTCCTTGTTTGAAATTCAATAATTCAAATTTCGGAATTGAAATGCAAAAATTGAAATGAAATGCTAGTTCCCAAACACTACCTTAGGTAGTTATTCCCATTGCCTTAGAGTGAGATTCTTGCTTTTCTTTATCTTAGTAGAGAATTGTCTTTGGCTTTATTAGTCGGATGAGTTCAAAATACTTGCTTATCCCCTAACAAAGATTTATCTTCATCTTTATATTTAGAGAGATTAGATCCTGATTTCAATAAATAATAACAATTTATCCTTTTTGTTTTCCCTCCTATTTTGGTTCCTATCATTTGGTATTAGAGTCATCCCGTCCAAGAGTAGTACCATCCAGAATCATCATATAGAAATAAAGAATCTTCATCCTCTTCTACTTATCATCACCCTCTTCTTTCAGGTTTCAACCTCATCTTAATCAAACTTGAGGGATTTGCTGCATCGACACTGCAACACATGCACATTTTATGGCATTATCAAGGGAGCTTTATGCTATTTATCCAATATTGGTGACTGAGACAGGGAGCAGAAGCAGATTTTGATACGCAGCCTTGCTGCAAAACATGTTTTAGTTATGGTTACTCTTGAGGACATGGTAAATTTCAATGGGGCAGTATTGATAGAATACCAATGAGTGACATGATGGATGATTTAAGGAAGTTAGAGAAATCTTAGGAATTTTATTTATTAATTTTATTTTAGATATTTTCTGTTAGAAATTAAGTAATAATTGTATTTATTTAATTCTAACGAGTTATTCCCATTATCAGAAATAATGGAAAAGTTTTAGGAGTCTTTTTAGGGAGTCAATTTCCATGATCTAAGGGAATTGTCTAAGTTTTATTTATTTATTCTAAATGTATTCTGGTCTATAAATAGGGCAGCCATTTGAGAAGTAAATGATGGCTTAAAATAATTATATCATTTTATCCAATTGCAGATTCTCCGCTCGTGGGCTATTGAGATCAGTAGAGTGAGATTGTTCATTTTCCTTATCTTAGTAAGTTAGTAGAGAATTATCTTTGGCTTTATTAGTTGGGTGAGTTCAAGATGCTTGCTTATCCCCTAACAGAGATTTATCGTCATCTTTATTATTTCGTAAGATTAGATTTTGACTTCAACAACAACCCAGTTATTCTTTGTCTCTGTGTGCTTTATCTGTGCTTTCTCTGCTTTATGTATATCCTGTGATCTTTTTGTATGTGCAGTTTGGGCTAGAGTAGGTGCAAGGTCTGCTTACACACACCCTCCCCAGACCCTACTCTTGTGGGATCCAACTGGGTTGTTGTATTTTTCCCTCCTATTTTGGTTCCTATAAAAAACCAGGCCCTTGAAGACTTTTAACTGATTATTTCTCATTTTGTGTGCAAAAGGTCCAGTTTGAAACATAGTTGTCACAGCGCCAAGGCGAGAGTATGAATATGAACATACATGTTCTCTAATTCTAATCAAAATTTCAAATATACAAACTAAAAAAATATAAACACACCAAAATATGAAAAGAAAAAAGAATATGAAATACGAAATATGATTAAAAACAATATGCTACTTCTTAGTGCAAAGTAAATACTGAGTATGAGAAGAGTCGCTGACTAAAAGGCATAAAAGATTTTCAAAAGGTGCTGCCTGGACCCTGGATGCCTAGGCAAGGCCAAGGCGATGCCTGGGCGAGGGATTAAAAAACGGCGAGGCAATACACCAGGCGAGAGGAGCACAGCGCCAGGACGCCTAGGCGACACCGTGACAACTATGGTTTGAAATGATAACAGTGTACTTGTACTCATTAATTCTCTCTCTCTCCCTCTCTCTCTCTCTCTGTCTCTCTCTCTGCGTGTGTTTGCAAAAGTCAAAATCCAAAGAAGGGCAAACAATATGAGTACCTTCCAGTGTTGGTCCGGCTGATTTGAGTAACTTGTCCGTTGATAATAAAAGGCTTCCCACTATAGTAAAAGCCAGTCAAATCAAGGGCTTCATTAGCCACACCACTCAAAACTGCCAACACATTCGCAGATTTGCTTCAAGAATCAAGACATAGGAAAAGATCAGTACCAAATATAAAAGTGTATGTGCAAGAAAAACAAAACTACATATCTACCTCTTCGCAAATTTGTGAAAATCCCAGTGTATGAACTTCAGCTGATGTTCTTCGGTAAGAATTTGATTCAAATACCCAACAGCATATGCAAATTCGCGTCTCAGCATCATTTCTCTTGGCCTCTTTTCTACTGTCTGAAATAAATAAAAAATCAATCTATAAAGAAACCAGAACTTGCTTTAGCAGAGCAAATCCTAGTGGAGTAGCATTAGATGTGTAATTTCTACTCCATCCCCGCACCCCCACCACACACACATAAAACATGCAAGAAAAAGAACACAGCAGGGATGAAATGAAAAGTTACAATAAAGGTACTTAGGGGCTGTTTGGCAACTTCTGAATGGGTAAGTGCTGAACCAGTAAGAGGTCTGAACCATTAAGTGCTGAACCAGTAAGAGGTCTGAACCATTAAGTGCTGAACCAGTAAGAGGTCTGAACCATTAAGAGCTAGTATATTGCTTAACTATTCAGAGGCAAATGTCTGATCAATTCAGATAAGAGGTCTTAATCATTCAGACTCTGTATAATACTTAACCATTCAGAGGCAAATCTCTTAACCATTCAGACATCTGAACCATTAAGAAGCTGAAACAAACAGTCTGAACCATTAAGTGCTGAACCATTCAGACATCTGAACCATTAAGAGGCAGAAACAAACAGCCCCTTAGTCAGTCTTCAAAGCACAACCCATTATAGAAATGCATAAAAGGAGTTTCAAATACGTATGTGTTAGTCAATCTTTCAAGAACCAGCCATAACAGACATGCATAAAAGGAGGTCCAAACAGGTATATATGTTTGAATTAAATAAGGACCATGGAGGTTCTCTAATACCAAGTATTTAATAATGGCTTGATAGTTGATACTAACTTTGATTAGATTAAGTACAATGATGGGGTTTCCATATCTCCTTGCCAAGTCTTCAAAATGCATCTTCGTAGCCTCATATGTTGGATCATATCTTTGTACTTGATTCAGCAACATCATAGTTCATAGCACACAAAACCCAAACAATAATTTTTCTGAAACAATCAGAAAAATACTATAGAGCAGTGGTAATAATCAAGTAAACAGATGCCACTGTTCTTACAGATGATATCAGGTTTTGGGCTGAATCTTGAAGCTTCTTGAGACCAGAAAAGGGGTATTGAACCCCTCATCTGCACAACAGAACTCATTCTTCCTTTGCATGACCCAGCTTCTTCATCGAGGACAATTTGCTCTGTTTCAACATCATTTGCCACTCTTCCATGATCGTTAACTCCCCTTTTCAAGTAGCTGCAACCATTTACCAACGAAGTGGTAAGCGCTTAGTTTCAGCAATAAAATAAGGTGTATGTAGTTATATACATTTATATCTTGTTTCAAACTCTCTATCAGTAATAAGTGTCATAACCTCAAAATACAAGTTTTGCCATCTGTTTGAAATTGATTAAAAAGTACATTATGTCTTTAAAGTAAATACACTATCAAGAGTTCTACCAGCACACTACACAAAATCTAAACAGGCAAAACTGACAGCAATTCAACCAAAATAACCATCCAAGTGAATAAAAGATAACTGCAAAACTAGAAGTATTGAATCAGAAATGAACATTCAGAAAAACGAAACCAAGTATATTTGCATCCAAACATTGGCCTTTTTATAGAGAAGGGAGATAAAGGGGTACTTGCACTGCATTCCCAAATAGGTCAAAAGGGACACAATACTGACCTGGGTAGTTGTTCTTCCTCCTTAGGCCCTTCCCTGAACTTAGCAAATATTAAAGGGAAGCAGATGCAGCCAATTAAAAATATAAAATTTCAAATCAATTTATTTTTAAAGACAAATAATGACAGACAAAAAAAAGTGAACTGCCTGTGTATGTCCAAGACATGAAAAAAACATGAACAGTCAGTGCAATGGTGCAATGCAATAGCTACAATGTACAGTAGAATATAAATGGCAATTTTAGCACACTTTACCCATGCACATTCTCGGATAAAGTATACTTTGGAGCTTATAACAGAGAATTGAATACAACTTACAAGTACAAAGTACAAAAGCAACATAGGGACTGATAAGCCGGGTTTGGGGTAGTTCTTTTTATTTAGGCATTTTAAATATTTTTAGTGTTTAATTTTTAATTGTTTAGCATAGTTTTATTTTAATATCAATTTTTACAGTCTTTAATTTTTCTTTCATAAATAATAGGAGTAGTTTTTTTTAATCATTTCTTTTTAAAAGGAAGCAATTGAATTTGGGTCGGAGCCCAAACCCATCATTAAATAAAAAAACAAGATGAGCCCAACACTCCTCTCCTCCCACCTCTTTTGATCTCACGTAAGGAAAAAAAGGGTGAGAAGAGTCGGCTTCTTCTTCTTCATCGCACAAGAGGCGGAAGACCAAGTCAATTAATGCTCCAACGATCTGCCATCAATTCCGTCATTCAATTGCCAACGGGAAGAAAAGCTTCGACTATAAATTGAGCACAGAATCATCAGCTTAAAAGAGGGGAATTCACACAGAAAAATAAAAAAACAGCGGCTTGGCCGCTGCTATGGCGGCAACCGGTAGACAAGTCCGGCGACGACTGATGGTCGGCGGCGAAGATTCGGCAGGTTCCTTCAGCTCCAATTCTTCAATTTTCATCATCTTCTTCAACAAATTGGTAACCCTATATTTGTCAATTTCTTTTTCTTCTCCAATTTCTTTGTAAAAGTGTGGTTTCAATTCAAGTTTACACTTTATTTTTTCCTTGTTTATTTGTGTTAATTTTGAAAATTCCAAAATGGTTGGTGTTCTTTTATGGGTTTTTTTATGTTTATATTAAATCCCTTGTGAATGAGAATTGATTCATATTAGTTTTCTTCAATTATTGTGTAAATTGTTGTTGAATTGGTTGAATCGCACGATTTGAATTCATAAGTAGGTTGGTATGTGGAATTTGGTTTTCATTGAAGCTATTTTAGGTCCATATCATAGTTAAATGATTTCTGAATTCATACGTGATTCTTCATTGTGCTATGTGTTTTGTAAAATTTTAAGGATTTTGGACTTCTTAGCCCCATAAGTTGGACATTTTTCTTAAGATTCATTATTAAGTGATTTTTTATGTCGTTCGTCTGTTTTATGTTATTTTCATAAAATTTAAGGTTGTTTAAGCACAAAAACAATTTTTAAGTTTTTGAAAATATGTATTGTTCTCTTATGTGAATAGACTAGAATTCTTATGCTTAAGTTGTTCAAGGAGACCTGCAAAATATTTTCATCATTAGACGTTAAAGTTTATTGAAGTGTATAAAATGTTCTTCGTGAATAATTTATGCATGGGAGTTAGAATGAAAGAAAGATTTGCTCTTTTATAAACTTTTTCATCTTTTGGAATAAAAATTATATAAGTATCTAACATGACTTTAATGTAAATTTCATGTTTTAAAAACTACTCCCTCCGTCCAAAATTAAAGTTCCCACTTTCCTTTTCAGGATGTCCACAATTAATGTTCCCGTTTCTAAATTTGGAAACTTTTCTTTATTAAAAAGTCTGAAATACCCTCCACTTCATATTACTCTTTTTCTCCCTTTCCTTCGGCAGCCCACCCCCCTTCTCTTTTCCTTTTTCTTCTTCCTTCCTTTTTCTTCCTTCTCTCCTTTTTTCTTCTCTCCAGGACCTTCTTTTTCTTCCTTCCCTTCTTTTTCTTTTTCTTCTCTCCAGAATCATCCGATTCTTTTTCTCTTGTTCTTCTTCTTCTTCTCCGATTCTTTCTTCTCTTCTTCTCTATTTCTTATTCTTCTTCTTCTTCTTCTTTCTCTTCCTATCTATTTTCTTCTTCCCTCCCCCCTTTTTATTTGCTAAACCGACCATGTTTTCTTTCTCTTTTTCTTATCGTCTTCTTCTTTATTTTCTTCTCCCCCTCAGATTTGGTCATTAGATTATTCAAATTTCCGTCAGATCTAAGAAATTTGCTTCAGATCTGGGTTCGATTCAGATCTGGGAAGAAGGGCAGCATTAACGAAGGTTCTTCTTCTTCAAGTTATCTCCATCTTCAAATATTTTTCATCTTCTTCATATCTTTGATTTTTCTACTTTGGTGAGGGAATAGCTCGAATAGGGCCTTAAAGGTTGCCTGCAAATTCTAAAATATTGAGGATGACGGAAATTTCTCTCCCTGGAAGTTTGATCGGTTTTGTTGCCGGAGTTTTGCTCTGGTTTGTTTGGTCTTCTGGAATGATGGGAGAGGGGGGACTGGTTGGACGGAAGCATGGGTGGGTAACTGGGGTAGGGTGGAGGAGGGTATTTTGGGAAAGTCAAAGCAAATTTTAAGTTTTATTAAACTCCGTGCCAAGTCAAAGTGGGAACTTTAATCTTGGACAGAGGGAGTATTTTCTTATAAAAATGAGCACACTCAATAAATACGCTTCTATGTGATCATAAACTAAAATATTGTGAATCAAAGGAGTGACAAATTAACAATCAACAAAATAGAAAGATAACATTAATAATCTTACATATTATGTAATGTATGCCTGTTACTCTGTTATTCTCTTGATGTTGCCTAGATTAAAAAGGTTCAAATAAAGAAGGGCATTATAGTTTAAAATAATCAGAGCATTTTTTAAATCAGATTAGGCTGAAATTGAGGCAGTAAGGCACCACCTAGGCAGCTGTCTAGGCCGATTTTCAGAACATACTCGGTAATCACTTCCACAACTGCCATCACCTGCCCTTACCATATTCAGGCTTACCCTTACTCTATCATCGCCACCCCTGCCACCTCCATAGGACTATATCCTTATCTCACCAAGGCCACCACAACTACCTATGCAACTCACTATTGCCATCAGTCCATCACCTACACGAACCAATAGCATTAGCTACCCACCAATAGTCACTACACATATCTGCCCCCCATAATCATCCCCCCTAGTCCCTCATGCAAACCGTCTTGACCATCACACATAATACTACCACTTCCATTATACTCTGTAATCTGTATTATTATAATCAGTTTTTCTTTCCATAAACTATTAACATTACATGTGTTTCCTTTTTATCTCCCTTCTTTCCTTTTCGGAAGGTTCCTAAATATTACTCCCTTTTCCAATCAATTAATGTATTGTGTGGCAGTGTGGGTTCATATTGATTGTTCTTTTTCTATATATATCCCAACCGCAAAAGGAAACACAACAAAATTCACAGAGTATGTAGCGCACTTCATAAAAAGAATACATTAGAAAATCTAAATCATACCGTGTCCCAGCAAAATGTCTAGACCGTCTTGAGATCAAGGAAACATTAAAATCTCTTCCAAATATTGATAGCCTGACCTGTAACCAATGAAAACTAGATGAGCTGGAAAGTTAAATTATACACTCCTTGTAAATGTGCAAAAGTAATGCAATGGGAAATTGCAGGAGATGACAAAGGACACTTAAGTTCTAATCCTTTTTAAAGAACAAAAACGGATGATTTTCCTAGTTAAAAATATAGCTACTTGACTTAAAATGAGAGAAAGAGCTAAAGATACAGAATGAGCACACCTCAAAATTACAATATACAATCAATTATTATATATATTATATCTTATGGGTATGTGCATGTTTTCCTTACAACCACTAGGTTTTTCTAGAAGGTTCTACATTTAAATTGTTCTTTTTTCCTGCATAGTAATTTTAAACAGATTTCATTCATCCAAAGCATGAAAGAAGAAAATAATCACAACTGCAATCTTTTTTGAAAGCTGGTGCATTATCTATCCCCATTTAAGATAGTAAAGCAATCAGATACCATATCAAACTATGGAAATACTTTATAGGTTGAAAATGAGAGGTATAGTTTCAGGAAGAGAGTGTTGCACTGTTAAAGAGTGGAAGTCAATCTACTACACGAATTTCCTATTCTTCTTTTTTAGCTATTGCAAACAAAAGCAGTAAAATATTTTAAAACTAAAGAAAAGTAACTACCTGCCTAAAGTGTCCATGAACCAAAGCAATTGTCCACATGGTGTTCTTACATCTGAATCTAATTGGTTCTGTTAAGTATGCATTCCATACAAAAATATTGTCATATGGCATCTCTTTCTCACTCATTGACAGAACATTCTTTTGCAAGCTGCGCATTATAGGATATGTATGACTATAGAAAAAATCCTTGGTCAAGTCAACGCTGGATAAAAGTTTTTTGTACCTGCAAGTACAGAGCTATATAAGTCAAAATAAACATAAACTGCTTTACAAAGCAGATCACAAGGTGAGAAAAGGAAATCAACAATCATGAAAAGAAACAAAAGGTTCACATTTTTTGATGGGTACATGTAGAGTAATAACAATTTTTTTCTATGAGCATTGAGAGAAAAATAAAAGCAGGCTTCTAGGTAAAATGAATTAGAGCAAGAAAGATCATGGACATGGTTAATGAGGTAAATTTCATACATGGAGCAAGAAAAGCTATAAAGGGAATGTTATAGACCAGGCCCTCTTTTTCAATACAAAAATCCACTATTTCCAGACTGATAAATGACATGACAATTCCACGCTATTCACTTCTCATTCAAGGGGCAAAAGCATATGCCTTAGGGTGTTTTTTTTCAATTTACTTACAATAGATGGTGTGCATAAATTGCAGTAAAGAAGGAACATCCAGATGGAAGTTCACAGAGGATGGTGGCTGTTTCTCAATACCACTGATGATAATCATATACTCCATACATTTCTAAATATTATTATGGTTCTTTCAGTAGGGCAGCATCTATGAGCCTTCTTTTTTACTGATGGTCGAAGAAAGCAGCATGTGAATCTATTCAGTCATAACAACTTCAGCTTTGCATGCAGGAAATAATGGCTACACTATACACTAAGAATGCTCTTGAGAAGAATCATAAGCAATACTCTATACTTTCACTTTCATCACATATACAATATTCAACAAGAAACAAACTATCATCCATGTTACCGCAGCTCAGTTTTTGAATGAGCAAGATCAGTCTGAACAGACACATGTGGAATTGCAATGATTTGACTCTCATCAATTCCATAAATGGCATGACCACAAATACATCCAATCTGGTGGCGCTTTGTCACCAATACAAGATAATACGACTCCAAGAATTTGATGCAACCTAATAAACCCAGCATAAACACAAAGTTAGGCTAGTTTTGTTTAAAGATCAGTTTCGCCATCTTACAATCAGTGCAATTACCAACAATGCCATAAACTTTGGCCACAAAAGTCAATCCTCCAGTGGCTCTATTGCCGTCAGCAATCCTTTGCAGTAAGCTCTTCACTTCCTTAACGGGGTACACAACTGGATCTTCACTAATATTCAGTTCTGAAGGTTCCATTCTGTCAATCTTAAGCACTCTGAATAACTGCTTATTTCTGTCGCTCCCAATCAGATAAAACCTCTGCAAACAGAAAAGTCCAGATTAAAAAACGGGTGTAATCTACATTCAGCAACAATCATACATTTATCTGCAGAGCAACAAATGTAGGACTGTGAGATTTTAGGGATGAATCTGAAAGTCTGAAACGGGGCTGTTTTATTGATCATCTCTTTCCGAGAGCAAAAAATACCGTAATACCGAATTGGTAAACATGAAAATACAAAAAGAGAGCTCAAAACTTACGGCCTGAGTTTCATACAGGCGAAATTTCTCAAGAGAATACGACGAATCGGTGTTGGGACGATTGGGGGGTTGGGTTTTGGATGAATTGAGATTAAGAGTTTCCCCCTTTGCCGCCATGCCGGAATCAATGGCGAATCAATTGCTGATGAAAGAAGGGAAAGGCTCGGTGAAGAAGAGATCAATATACGTTTGTGTTGACAACATCAGTTTGATGACTTTCATAGAGTTTGCTAGGGTGGTTAGGAGTGCCTTCCGTTTTGGCCGTTCCGTTGAAACCCAAAACCAAACACAAATCCGAAAGCAAGGTAGTGTTTTGGTTCAGTTTTGTACTAAATGTAAATTATTGATTACTCCGTGTTTGGTTTGGTTTTATGTGATTTCTATTTTGGTTTTCTTTTAGCATTTTTGGTTTTTAAAAATAAACATTTATAAGCATTAAAAAAGTTATAACAACACTAACTCGATGAAGCAATAACAATATGTGAAAAATATGTGTCAAGTGTCCAACAAACATCCAGAAGATTCAAAATACACCCAAAGCCTTCATATGTACATATCAATTACGAAGTACTCTATTTGCATTTTTAGGATACTATTTTAATTATACTTTAATTTCCATTATAACATCAACGTTTTTCATATAAATATGTAATTTACTCATATCGATTTGTAATTTGTATAAGGATGCGCTATTGGTGTTTATACTCTTAGTTTTTTAAGTTTATTATATGGTTTAAAATGTTTAATAGTTAAGACATGATAACTTCAAACAATTAATGAGTTATTTGCATTTATATTTCTATGATTTTTTTTATATATTACATATGCTCGTATACATAAAATGATGTAAATAGAAAAGTTTGGTTTATTTGGTTTGTTTTGGTTTTCCAGAGTGAAAACTAAAACGGAAACCAAATAATAACAGTTCGGTTTGATTTTTCTTCATTTGGTTTTTGGTTTTTTCGGTTTGATTTTTTTGTAACTCGTTTCAATCGATTTGGATAGGGTTTGCGGTTTTTGGTTTTCCCAACCCTGCCCTAGTCGTGGGAGAACTTCTATATTTTCTATGTGTCATATTTAAATCTTTTTTTCTTACAATGTTCAATAGATATGATCACAATATTTTATGTATTTTTTTTAAATGCATTTTATTAAATAATCAAAGAATACAAACGTCTGAACAAGCGGGAACAGGCTCCTCACTTGTATAAAAAGTAAGCAACAACCAAAGAACTATAATGTGAAGCGCTTATCGGATATTGGAACATAGACTTAAGTGCAATTACAAAGCCGGCTCAAAACATTTCACTTAGATCTAGGAATAAAATCATTCCCGGAACCTCAACCCCCGCAAGGGTAAGGCCTAAGGTCAGATAATCCGATCAAGAAAAAATGTTCTAAGCCAAGAAATGCAATCGACATAAGTCCAGTCTAAAATCCAGAAAAGCCCAACTAAAGAATGAATAAAATAATATGTGCAAAAATAATCCAAGTGAGCCAAGTAGAGCCCAAAACTGGGAAAGCCCAAACCATGAAGGAAGGCATGTGTGCTAGCCCAAATCCGCATCTGAAGCCCGAC